CTTGCAGTCTACACAGATATTTACACTGTAGCGTGCAGTCTACACAGATATTTACACTATAGCTTGCAGTCTACACAGATATTTACACTATAGCGTGCAGTCTACACAGATATTTACACTATAGCGTGCAGTCTACACAGATATTTACACTATAGCGTGCAGTCTACACAGATTATTTACACTATAGCGTGTAGTGTACATAGATATTTACACTATAGCGTGCAGTCTACACAGATATTTACACTATAGCGTGTAGTCTACACAGATATTTACACTATAGCGTGTAGTCTACACAGATATTTACACTATAGAGTGTGGTCTACACAGATACCATCATCATCACCGTTTTAATGATTCACTAAAACATAATTTCTTGCTAAATAATTTATATCTATCCACGTTTTTCTTCAGCAAATAATAATAATTTAATAAGTTGTGTGTTCCAAAAGAGTACCTTAAATTTAGGTTATAATTGTGCTAGTTTTGATTGGAGGAATTTGTTTCATTCCGATTATATTTGCTGCCAAAACATTATGTAATGATATTTTGTACTTTATTAGTTTAAAAGCGTTATTTATAATAAATGCAAATGAACGAAAGTTAGTTAAACGGTGATGATGATAGTATCTGTGTAGATCTCAGCCTAAAATAGCACTCATCCTTCTTTATTATGAGACAGATGTTTCAACGTGGTCTAATTGTCACTGGCCAAGAAGTCCACTGAGTTGGACTTAGCTGACACTATACTCTTATTAACTCTTTAAATGTTCTTCTTTTTTAAATAAGTAGTAACTTACCAGCTAAGAAATAACACTTGTAGACAAGAGGGAATCCTCAATAGCCGCGACACTTGAAATTCTTTTAGGCATGATTAGAGTAAATTAATATATGAGACTTTTTTTTCTCGTTTTAAATAACTATATTTTTGTACGCCAGCAATACAAAGCGTGGGGTGCGCGTATACCCGATTCAATTTTACTACTCATTAGGATCTTTACCAGCCTACCCTCAAATTGAAAATATTTAAGGGAGGACTGGGTTAATTAATTTATGATACGTTGGGAATGGTCCAATACGTCAATTGAAAGGGTTTGACCACCTGAGTCCAAAACTGTAATTAGATCTCAAATCGGTCAAGAGATGACAGAGAGCTATGAGCTAAAAGTTTGCACTTGATAAAAAAACAAACTCGGAGTCATTATATGAGCCGCTACTAAAAATAAAAACAAAAGCACTTTCAACGTAGGGTAACATAAACGTGTGTTTACGTATCTGCTTGTTTGATAATTTCCGGTAAAAATTCT